AATACACTTAGCAGTATAAAGACTTTTAGGACAGGGATCTTCCTAAATTTGCAAAACCTCTACCAGCTCATTACAGCAGCTACATAAACAAGGAACAGTAAAGATAAAAAAAAAAAAAGTTTGTAATACTCACCACTCCGATAGCCCAAGGCTACAGCCAAATCCATGGAATTATAGCCAGCATCTGTTTCAATAGTTGGATCAGCACCACTTTCTGTGTAAAATGGGAGAAGAATCAAACTCAGATTTCTGACTATAAGAACTGATAGCACCTCATTACTGATGGTTTAATTTAGATATCTTGCTTAACAAGAAGAATTTTTACACATTTCACATGGTTCCCATGCACTGCGTAGAGGTGTGCCTCCATTCTGCAAAAGCGTGGAAAAGCCTTAGGCATTTAATGGTTGAGCAGTCTGCAACTGTAATTCCTTGACATAGCAGTATGCATGTGTATCACTGACAGAATTCATAGGCTTTATATATAGAGATCTCATTGCTCTTTTCACCAAAGAATCAGAACTAACAGGATCAACTTCTCTTATTTTGAAGAGCATCCTACATAAGTTTTGAAAGCCTCAGATATCTCAGAAGATTTAGAGCAAATTTCAAACCCAAGCCAAGGCTGTGCCTTGTTTCTAGTTTCTGATCAAAGCACACTGATTTTGTAAATTCCAGACAGACTTACCCAGTCATACTCATTGACATCAACTCCACAGTCAAGCAGCATTTTCACAATATCTGTATATCCTTTGCTGCAAGCCAGTGAGAGAGCACTTTCTCGCCCTTTCCCCAAGATCTGAGGATCTGCATCCTGGAGGGGAAAAAAAAAAAAAAATCAACATAGCAACATAGTTGAAGTGAGGTTTCACAAGGAACTTAGCTTTAATACTTTAAATATATAGCAGTGTTGACAAGCCTAGAAATGCAAAATGAGCTAAAAAGTCAGCCAAGAAATTTAAAACGATTTGTTTTTTTCCTTACATTCTGGAGGAGAAATTCCACTACTGCTATCTGCCCATGAGCAGCAGCTCACATTAGAGGGGTAAATCCTTCTTCATCCTTATGATTGATTAAATTTTCTGTTTATAGAAGAAAATACATTTCAGCAATCCTTTTCACTGAAGCACTATACAAGCTGATAGAATAAATGTGTTGACATACCCATTGTCAATGGATCAATGCACAGATGTGCCCTACCAGTCATTCCCATGTGAATTTACAAACAAAATTTTAATCCCAGTGGCGATGCAAATATCCCTATACTGGGGCGGGGGGAGGAATCCAACAAGCCATGTTAAAAATTAGATTCAATTTTAAATTCTATAAATGAAGCTCTACTTTTACTCAAGAATGTTTAAAGTTGTGTGTAATCTGAATTATTTCTCTGGAGAGGTCTGCCTCAGAAAGAAAAACATTCTGTATTATACTGTATAAAGTACTTTTTTTTTCTCAATACAGTGAAAGACACAAAATCTTTTAAATAATTAACTTGTAAAGCAATATAGATATTATAACCCCATCCCCTTGAAAGATTAGGTTATCAATAAGGTGTTTTGTGGAAACAGGTAAGATCTACTTCTAGAAGAGTGGGAAGTAAGTAAAAACAAGTGACTGACTGAAGGGTTGATTTGAATTAATCTTTTATATCTAAACATAAAAAAAACCCAAAACCTACCATGCCACTTCAGAATCTATTTGTATTTTGTATATGAATAATTAACAAACTATATATCCTCAATTACTCATTACCTACTTTCCATAAACATTTCAATGAATATTTACTGAAAGCAAGGCTGATTACTAATAGTTCAATCAGAATATACTATTATATCTGTTCATTATATAGAGTTAAGACAGAATGAGTAAAACTGCTACATTGCCAATGTGAGCCATGTCTTAAATTACCAACATATAGCTCTATATGGTAACTGATTGAATACAACTGGAAAGCTACTATTAACAGTAATGTGTTTTAAATTATAAGCTAAACTGGGAGAAGGGGTACAATTCCCCTGATAGAACTGACAAATTCTCCTCTCAGTTCTCATATTCTACCCCTATACCTGGGGAGCAGAGGGAAGGGACTGACCCACAACTCGCACTAATGATAAATGTTTCATTAAAAACAAACAAACAAAAAAAGGCAGCAAAGACACATAAAACAACAATTGACATTTGCAAAGAGATACCTCAAATATCCTTCAATTTGTAGTACATTTGGAAATTTTCTACACAGGTTTGGGGGACAAGTTCAAGCATAACAGGGTATAAATTCCTCAAAGGAAAACAAAACACACACAAAAAAAGTACTTAACCTCCCTTAGTCTTACCTTGTTCAATACATGTAGCCAGGCACATCATTTCCCCTTGAGCAGCTAGATGATGAACTGCTAAAGCTGCAAAAAGGGAAGCAAAAACATGTAGTATGTACACAAATTTTCATTCTGCTCTATTTGGAGTTAGACCTAACATGTCCATTGGCTTGTGCAGTACAAAATTTAAGATGTGAGAGCAGATTTCACCTTATTTCACCTTACTTTAAGATAGCAATTGGAATTACCACCTTAAGAATTAAAGTTTCTTTATCAAGCATGTAAAAATAGATCTTAAGAAGAACTAGAAAAAAAAATGGTTTTCAAATCAAGAATTGGATACCCCTCTGGAAAACATGCTTCAGTCATGAATTCAATATAGCAGGCAGATTATCATTTTAAGGTTTGAACTATGTGAAATTAGACAAGATTTTCTCAGTGTTTTCTTCCTACATTACAGTTCATTAGAAGACCAAAGAAAAATGGAAAACATCACGCAAGTAGCTAGCTTATGGTTCACAAAAATAATTAACAGTAAAGCAGAAAGATACTTACAATTTACAAGCTGAGGTGTTGTAGAGACTTCATTTCCCCTATGTTTGTTAGGGTAGTTGACTGTTTTATCAGAGAGAAATGCTTAGTTGTTGATGGAATGTAAACATGTCTTACTTGGATATCAGGGAAAGGAGAAGTATGGATGTTGCATTCAGCTACATTGAACAGAGATAATAAATATGGTTTTAGTGCTATTAAGAGCATTAAAAGAAATGCACAGGATCCAAGTCAAATTAGAAAGCTCCAGTGTCACCAGATCTTTAAAGCCTGCATTAAGTAACCTTTGTGAGCTAAAAAAGTAACCTTTGTGGGTTTATCAGGTAGGAGAGCAATACAAGGTATACATTATCTTTATTAACACTCTCCAGCTTAATGAACATAATGCAACCATGATCACGTAACTGCTCAGTTCATCCTTTTGCCTCCTGTCTAACCAATACACAGCATGATTAGACCCAACCTTCACTAAATTCCTCCATTAGGACTTTTCCCATTCCTGTTTGACAAACCTGTAACTGCATTATGAATGTCTTTGGAATATTTATCCAATAAGAATAAAGATTTTCCACACTACCTTGTAGAAAATGCAACAGCAGGATACTAATTAAAACTGAAAAAGTCACTCACTGTTTTTTTTTTTTGGGGGGGGGGTTTAAGTTATCAGTAACAGTATTTTATTGCAGAATTTATGCATTGTCTTAGCTTCTAATTTGCAGAATAGTTTTTGGTTCTGAGAAGCCAACACTTTTAAAAAGATGAATTATTAAATACTAGAAAGACAGTGAAGACTGAAACTCCATTACTGGCCAAATTGATTTGATGCTAGTGTGCACTAGTAATTAATGATATGAAGTTAACATGTGCGCCAAATTTATGCTATAAATAACTTCATAATTACAAAGCCAAGTGCAACTTTGGGAAGAGAATTGATTGAAAGAACTATAAATGACCCTGGGCAACAGCATGAAAACAAAATTACATTTTGTTTACCAATTAAATAGCTTCAGATGAGATTATTGAATTAAGAGACCTACCAGGGATTTTTGACCTGCGGTCCCTGGATCCGCAGGGCTACTTCTAAGGGTAACAAATGCTACCCAAGAAAAACAACCCTAGTGCTGATGGGTCTAAATTTACTGTTCAGGTCTGCAGCTCCACTTAGGGCCTGCAAATCAAAAAAGTTTGAAAATTACAATGGCTGAACTGCAGCCAAACCATATAAATTACAGGAATCATCAAGATATACAATGGGTCTTTGTTTGTGCATATTATGGCAAATGGGTCCGATTCAACATCCTGACAAGATGTGCTACTAACAGTCTGAAATATTAAAGCAACCCTGATGAACACTATTGGTCAAAAGAAACAGATTTAAGCTCTAATTTTGCTCTTTATAGATAAGCCCAGCCATGATAAAGCCCTGCTAACTCTGATGCAGATGCAGAGCAGCAGGTGGAAAGTGGCTGCAGGGAAGAGCTTGCAGTACTGTAGCAATATTCACTTTCAAAGAGCGTGAAACCAAATCAACAAATCAATCACTTCAATAACTGCAGGCTTTGTGCAGCCATATCGATAAAACAAGATCAACTGTATAAACTGTGTTATCATGGTACTAGTGAAAGGCTAAAGCACAACCCACAAAGCTACTGAAGTTAAGATATAACCCATAAAATTAATAGTCCATTACTGACTGCATATAATAAGAATTCTAAAGGAACAAATTACAGAAAAAAAAACATAGATTAGCGCACACACACAACAAAAGGGGAGTTTTTTTTTTTAACATATCAGGATAACAGGATGAGACAATCCATACACAACAATTTGTACCATGAAGATCAACCTTTAAATAAGACAGATGCCACTTCAAGGTCAGAGTTAACTTGGTCTTGAATGTTCTTACTGTCCTCTTCATTCAAAGATTTCACAAACCGCGAGCAGACATTCATGTCAAATCTATTAAGCAGAATGTACTTCATTCCCATGGCAACGCTCTGCGTGGGCCCTTCCTCTGTGCTGGGCTCCAGCTGATGCTCCACCTTAATGTCCAGCATAGCTGGGAGGCCGTAGCCAGTGGTGCATTCTTCCACCATCAGCTGGCCTCCAGCATCAGTGTTCCCTGTGGACGTCATGGCTTCAATCACACAGCACTTCTATGTAAAATGTCTCTTCATGTCTTCTGGCCACTAGCAGTTCACTCAGCCAAGCCGTCTCCAGTGTGGTATGGATGTTAAAGTAATCTGTAATTAAACGCAAATGTTCTTAACTTGGGATATTATATAATAACATTACACAATGCATAAGGACACATCAAATTTCCTTCATTTATGCTTATAGCATTTTAGATATCTCAAAACACAATAAGTATGTAACTACTGACACAAGTCATCAGCCAAATATTCTGATTATTCCCCCCTCCTTTTTATTTTTCCCTTTCTTTCCCACGTGACTGTTCAGCCTATCTCCATAACGAAGCAAACTGAATTTCATTTAAGTGAAAACTCAGAATATCAGTCTGGTTTTAACAAAATATAACTATATATGCACATATGTACATACATATATATGTACATACACACGCATATATTTATGCCAGATACTGAACAAGACATAAGACCTCAGCGCCTAGGAAACACCTGTCTCAGGTCAAGAGCTAGAGCTTGACTACATGTCCCTTCATGACTCTAAGTCCTCCCCAGGCAAGTGAGTCACCGGGCCGGGCCCTGCCACAGAGGCAGAAGGCTGCGGCGAAGAGACTGCCACAAGGACGGCCTGAGCTCG